TGGGGGCCCCTTGCTCTCCGCCCCGTGCGCTCGGGGTCGGGCGGGCGCCCCCTGCCGCTGGGACCCCGTGCCTCTGCCGCAGTGCGGGCGGGGGAGGGCTGGTGGAGGCGAGCGGCCTGTTCCCCGTTCCCACCTGCCCTCGGCCCAGCCCCGAGCCCTGCAGCCCTGTGGGTGCCAACCGTAGTTCCCTGCCCCCTCTGCACCCCCAACACACACGTGCGCGCACACATGTCAGAGGCCCCTGGGCAGCAGGGCGGTTTGGAAAACCAACAGACCCGGCCGGTCTCCAGGTCCTTATCTGTGAGCTAGTGACAATGATCTGGCCATGCAGAGCGGGGATGGGGTCACCTGAGGTCACAGCACACCTCATACCCTGTGGGTACCCAGGATGCACCATCCATGCCTGGAGCTCCCCCCAGGGGACTGGCCTGGAATGGGGTGCTGACAACTGGGACATCACAAAGGAGACTTCTGAGCTGCCCTGGCAGGCCCAGGAAGTGCCACCAGCATGAAGCCCTTGACAGGAAGTGCCAGCTGGGCCAGTGGACACGCTAGAGGCCAGACACAAGCTCCAGGCTGGGGCCAGGGCTAGAAGCCTAGGCTTCCCAGAGGAGGGAGAAAGGGAGACAGGAAGGAAAGGACGGAAGAGGAGAAAGGAGCCCTGCCTTACCGTCCTGGCTGCAGGCCCCGTACAGCTTGATGACATGTGGGTGGTTGACCTGCTTCAGGAGGTTGAACTCTGACAGCAGGTCCCTCAGCTCACTCGGGGATGCATTCTCTGAAATGCAGCACAGAGAAGGCTGCAAGCCATCCCTCCTGGAAGCCCCTTCCATGACCATGCTGGGTTGGAATGACCATCATTTCCTCATAGACGCCAGCCCAGGCTCAGACACGAGGCTTCTCCCAGCCCACAAGGTCAGTTGACAGGACCCCAAGGAGCAAGCTTCCAACCAGAGGCTGGATGACCCTGCATCGCCACCTCCCGAAGACCCCACAGAGACCCTCCTCATTAATCCTTCTGGAAAGATGAGGGGACTCCCTGATGTCCCCACACAGCCCTTTGAGGGGAGAGGCCCTGGTGAAAGGTGGGGAGCTCCTAGGGAGGACGCACACCCTAGACCATCTCCCTCACTGCCTGTCCCCGTGAGATGGCTGGCCCAGAGCCCTGTGGGCATCTCACTGCTTTTGCCGTGCTCCGGTACCAGTAGCTCATGCTCAGAGAGATGCCACAGAAAACACACCTGAGATAGGGCAGGGTTACCAATCATGGCACACCCGTATACTTGGCTTAGGACTTTCTACAAGAACCTGTGTCTGGTGGATATAAAGACAGCAGACTTCACAGTGGTGGCCTGCTGAGCACATGCGTCCCGAGGGTGGCCAGAGCCATGCTCGGACTCCCCAAGGTGCCAGCCGTGAAGGTATTTTAAGAGTCAGAAGATGTGGCTAAACAAATTCCCAGGCCAACTGCCCCACTGCCCACTGCCCAGCTGCACCATGCCACCTCTTCTGTCCCACGGACATGTCTGGCAGGGAAAGGACAGCTGGGAGAACTGGGTTTTGGGACCCATTGCACTGGGTGTGGATAGCCTGGGGCTGTGCTCAGCTGCACTGGGAATCTGAGGGCCTCACTGTGCCCCCTTAGAACCTAGGGTCTTACTGTCTTGGGTGTGAACCCAGTCTGAGAGTCTGGTGTCTTACACTCACCACCACATAGCTGGGTGGCCAGCGGGTGCCAGTACACGGAGCTGGAGCCCAGCTACTGTGGTGGGCCATCTGTCCAGTGCAGTCACCAGCCTCTGCTCAAAGCCACGTGCGAGCACACAGGCAGATTTAGTCCCAGCAGGGGTGGGTTGGGGGTGGGGCAGGCCCACTGGGAAGTCTCTTTGCCAGGACCCCAACAGATGCTTGGCTGAGAGGAAGAATGGGGCAGACTGGGGTGGGGGCCACTGTCAGCTCAATATCAAAGGGCTTTTTAATTTTTTTAAGCCTTAGGTCTCCACTGACACTGGTGCACAGTCCTCACCCGGCTTCTCCAGGACCACCTGCCTGCGTGTCCATGGTGGGAGTCCCCAGACCAAGAACAGCAATGGGGGCTCTTTTGGAGGTCCCACCGGGGTGTTGTGCATGAGCCTGGACAGGTACCTTTCAGCATCTTCACAGCCACGGTGGTGTACCCCGCGCGGCCCTTCAGACGGAAGGCCGTCGCCTTGACCACTTTTCCAAATTCGCCTTCTCCCAGAGTTTTTCCAAGAACCAAGTTCTTTCGAGGGAATTCCCACTTTGGATCCTCCTACGTTGGGGTTAAAGGAAGGGGGAGCAGAGGAGGGGGAAGGAAAGCGTGAGGGCAGCAGGAGAGGACGGAGGCGAGACGTCTCTGTAATGGTGCCCTGGGACGGCTCCAGCATGAGGAGAACCGGCTGTCTCCCGAACCGGAGGCACCGGCGCCCACCTCCACGGAGGGCAGGGTCCACCGCCAGGCCAGGCCGAGAGCCCCGGGGAAAGGCAGGCGTCGCCACAGAGTGGTGTGGACTCAATGCCCGACCCTCGCCACCCCCCGCGTACTGAACGTACCCTCACGAGAGGGGTCCAGGACCTGTTTGGCACCCATGGGGCTCACAGGGAGCGCGGCCTCCTCCACTTTGAGTGTCCAGGCCCAGCAGACACTGACCGGCCTGCCATCCAGGTTCCCATCTGCTCTGAGGGCCCCAGAGAACTGAATGGGCACCAATGGCCATAGCCCAGCCTGTTCCCAGCCCAGGACCCCCAGTGACCCTGAAAGCATCCAGGGCAACTTCCCTGTGTGGCCGCCCCTGCAAAGAGAGATGGTCCTCGGGAAAGCACCGCCTGAGGTGTGGAAGCAGCTGCCCTCCCACACATGCTGGCTTGCTGTGCCCTCCACTTGGGCTCTGGCCAGCATGTCTCCACCCAAGTCCCATCCATAAGTCAGGTCCTCTCACGACCACCCTGGACCCTTCCCAGACCCCAATCCTGGCCCTGTGCACTTGAATTCCAACTGGGCACGCCAAAGCCTGCCAGGAACCCACCCTCCTGTGCGAATCCTGAGGGTCCATGACCCCATGTCTCCCTACAGCTGGGTGTGGGTGTGCAGCTTCAGGTCGGGGTCCTGCTCACGACAGCCCTGCCAGGCTCTCCCAACCTTAGGGATGGCTGGGGACCCTCTGCCCGGGCCAGGGGCCACCCTCTCTGACTTCTGCGTGTGCATGGGGGGACAGCCTACTCTCAGCCATGGCTGTGACACCATCCAGCAAGCCTGGGCCATCCCGCCTTGTCTCCCATTCCTGAGATCCCATGGTTGGGGTCAGCACGGACAACACCATTATTGCCATCCTCCTCTCCTCAGCTCTGTGGCTGGCACTGGAAGCCCATTTACTGTGCATCTGAGACTGCACCATGCATGTACAGATGGTATCAACCTGATCCTCTTTAAAACATGAGAGGAAATCAGTCTCCCCCTTTGTGTAAAAGAAAATTGAGGCCGAGTGCTTGAGTCACGTGTCTGAGGGTGTCAGGCCCTGTTCTGGAGCTGACTTGGGGTGAGGGTGGGGCGTGTCCACCAACNGCCCCACTGCCCACTGCCCAGCTGCACCATGCCACCTCTTCTGTCCCACGGACATGTCTGGTAGGGAAAGGACAGCTGGGAGAACTGGGTTTTGGGACCCATTGCACTGGGTGTGGATAGCCTGGGGCTGTGCTCAGCTGCACTGGGAATCTGAGGGCCTCACTGTGCCCCCTTAGAACCTAGGGTCTTACTGTCTTGGGTGTGAACCCAGTCTGAGAGTCTGGTGTCTTACACTCACCACCACATAGCTGGGTGGCCAGCGGGTGCCAGTACACGGAGCTGGAGCCCAGCTACTGTGGTGGGCCATCTGTCCAGTGCAGTCACCAGCCTCTGCTCAAAGCCACGTGCGAGCACATGGTGTCTTACACTCACCACCACATAGCTGGGTGGCCAGCGGGTGCCAGTACACGGAGCTGGTGCCAGTACAGCTACTGTGGTGGGCCATCTGTCCAGTGCAGTCACCAGCCTCTGCTCAAAGCCACGTGCGAGCACGCAGGCAGATTTAGTCCCAGCAGGGGTGGGTTGGGGGTGGGGCAGGCCCACTGGGAAGTCTCTTTGCCAGGACCCCAACAGATGCTTGGCTGAGAGGAAGAATGGGGCAGACTGGGGTGGGGGCCACTGTCAGCTCAATATCAAAGGGCTTTTTAATTTTTTTAAGCCTTAGGTCTCCACTGACACTGGTGCACAGTCCTCACCCGGCTTCTCCAGGACCACCTGCCTGCGTGTCCATGGTGGGAGTCCCCAGACCAAGAACAGCAATGGGGGCTCTTTTGGAGGTCCCACCGGGGTGTTGTGCATGAGCCTGGACAGGTACCTTTCAGCATCTTCACAGCCACGGTGGTGTACCCCGCGCGGCCCTTCAGACGGAAGGCCGTCGCCTTGACCACTTTTCCAAATTCGCCTTCTCCCAGAGTTTTTCCAAGAACCAAGTTCTTTCGAGGGAATTCCCACTTTGGATCCTCCTACGTTGGGGTTAAAGGAAGGGGGAGCAGAGGAGGGGGAAGGAAAGCGTGAGGGCAGCAGGAGAGGACGGAGGCGAGACGTCTCTGTAATGGTGCCCTGGGACGGCTCCAGCATGAGGAGAACCGGCTGTCTCCCGAACCGGAGGCACCGGCGCCCACCTCCACGGAGGGCAGGGTCCACCGCCAGGCCAGGCCGAGAGCCCCGGGGAAAGGCAGGCGTCGCCACAGAGTGGTGTGGACTCAATGCCCGACCCTCGCCACCCCCCGCGTACTGAACGTACCCTCACGAGAGGGGTCCAGGACCTGTTTGGCACCCATGGGGCTCACAGGGAGCGCGGCCTCCTCCACTTTGAGTGTCCAGGCCCAGCAGACACTGACCGGCCTGCCATCCAGGTTCCCATCTGCTCTGAGGGCCCCAGAGAACTGAATGGGCACCAATGGCCATAGCCCAGCCTGTTCCCAGCCCAGGACCCCCAGTGACCCTGAAAGCATCCAGGGCAACTTCCCTGTGTGGCCGCCCCTGCAAAGAGAGATGGTCCTCGGGAAAGCACCGCCTGAGGTGTGGAAGCAGCTGCCCTCCCACACATGCTGGCTTGCTGTGCCCTCCACTTGGGCTCTGGCCAGCATGTCTCCACCCAAGTCCCATCCATAAGTCAGGTCCTCTCACGACCACCCTGGACCCTTCCCAGACCCCAATCCTGGCCCTGTGCACTTGAATTCCAACTGGGCACGCCAAAGCCTGCCAGGAACCCACCCTCCTGTGCGAATCCTGAGGGTCCATGACCCCATGTCTCCCTACAGCTGGGTGTGGGTGTGCAGCTTCAGGTCGGGGTCCTGCTCACGACAGCCCTGCCAGGCTCTCCCAACCTTAGGGATGGCTGGGGACCCTCTGCCCGGGCCAGGGGCCACCCTCTCTGACTTCTGCGTGTGCATGGGGGGACAGCCTACTCTCAGCCATGGCTGTGACACCATCCAGCAAGCCTGGGCCATCCCGCCTTGTCTCCCATTCCTGAGATCCCATGGTTGGGGTCAGCACGGACAACACCATTATTGCCATCCTCCTCTCCTCAGCTCTGTGGCTGGCACTGGAAGCCCATTTACTGTGCATCTGAGACTGCACCATGCATGTACAGATGGTATCAACCTGATCCTCTTTAAAACATGAGAGGAAATCAGTCTCCCCCTTTGTGTAAAAGAAAATTGAGGCCGAGTGCTTGAGTCACGTGTCTGAGGGTGTCAGGCCCTGTTCTGGAGCTGACTTGGGGTGAGGGTGGGGCGTGTCCACCAACAGGAGCACCTGGTCAGCACCAGCCTTCCTGCACAGCCTTGCCCCCCACCACCGGGGCTTGTGAAGCCAAGTTGCTGCCAGGGACGGGGACCACAGGCTAGGAAAGCCCGAGGGAGGCAGCAGCAGCAACATCTGGGAAGGGCCTCCTTGGACTAGACCCTCACACATCGGGCCCCAGGGCTGAGGCCCCAGGCTGAGCCATCCTGTGGAATGGGGCACCTCCTAGGAACCGCAGGCCACCTCCCAGCCTGAGATGGGGACAGCAGTGCCTGTGGCCACTGGTGCTGAGCTTTCTGCCCAAGTCCCTAGCTGAGGTGGACACGCCACAATACCCCTGCCCAAGCTCTGTTCACAGGTACCCTCAGCTCTGAGCACTTTCTTCAGTTCTTCCTAGCACCCACTTGGCTTCCAGCTCCTCCAATGCAGCTGGTGGAAATGCTGAAGGGGCAGGCCCACCCAGCAGGAGATGGCAGAGGCTGCAGCACAGCAGGCCCAGGGAGACCTGGCCAGGATGGGAGGCCCCAGGGCCACCCGCTGTAGCCTGCTGTGAACTGCAGGCCAGGCCCACTATGGGGAAGGGGGCAGGAGTCTTCGGGCTCTGGCTAGTGCCCTTGTGATGCAGGCCACAGGTCCCCCAGCCTGGCTCCTCAGTGCCCCTCCCTCTACACCAGCAGACATCCCGGCCCCACTGCTGCTGCCCTGGCTGGGGACCCCCACCGCCACCTCTTGCCTGGATGGGGACAGCACCTCATCATGGGCTCCCACTGCTGCCCCACCCCACAGACTCTCCCCGCAGAGTGGCCTGTGCAGATGAAGGCAGCGCAGCAGCTCCCTGCTCACCTCCACCTTGGGGGCCACGCTCTGAGAATGAAATCCAGGGGCTTCCTGGGCCTTTGTGACATGGCTTCCCCCAGCCTTTGGGCCTCTGCACTGCGGTCCCCTTCCTGCAGTCCTCACAGCCCCAATCCTAGTCTGTCTAAATCAGCGCCCGCCAGCCTCTGCCCACTGCACTGGGCAGGGCCGGGTCTGCCCGCGCTGGGTCCATGAGGGCTGAGCCCAGGCTGTGAGTGTGCAGCCCTGCACCCTCTCCCACCCTGCCCCGGCCTGCAGGGAACCTCACCGGGATCTTGAAGGCGTCCACAGAGACCTGGTTCTCCATGGAGTCCAGTGAGGGCCTGCGGGCGCTGGATGAAGAGTAGCTGACCGGGAAAGCCTGGGAAGGCCGGCAGAAGGTCATCTCAGCCGAGGCGATGGGTGGCTTGTGGGCGTTCTTGTGGTAGCGGTGGATGCAGAAGGTAGACAGCAGCACCGAGACGATGAAGGAGAAGAGGACGGCCGCCGCGATCACCGTGCGGCACAGCTCGTCACACAGCGGGTCTGTGGGCGTGGGTGGCCATGAGGCGCAGAGCTCCCAGAGGGCCCCCACCACAGAGTTCTGCAGCCGCACACCCACAGCAGCTGGGGAGCAGCCGCCTGGCGGGGGCTGCTGTCACAAAAGCACACGAAGGCATGAGAAGTCCTGCAAACACGCCGACGGCACAGACTGGTGCAGGGACTGCACGCACCTTTCCCCCTAGACTGCTATTACCCTCTCACAGATGGAAACAGAGGCACAGAAAGGCTGAGCGGCCCACTTGGACCCTCTGCTGGGAGGGTGGGTCCTGGCTGGACAGTGCCCAGGGCCCAGTGAGGGCCCTGCAGAGACAGTCTGATCAGACAATGAGTTATTTGGCAGGAAAACTGCTTTTCTGGCCCGACCTTCATCACAGAACTTGGGGCCAGAATACACTTTACAGGGACCTCAGGCCCCTATCCCAGGCTGAACCAATGGGGGAACTGAGGAAGGAGGACGGTCTCCGGGCTCACTTGTCTTCCTGCAATTTCCTCCCTTGGTGGGACCTAGAAAGTGCTGCCTGAAATCCTCTGTGGGGCCCAGGGGTGTGTGGGAGCCCCGAGAGGAGATCCCAGGCCACCCACTCACCCTGGCTGTCTTCTGGCTCGCAGAAGCACTTCTTCTCCTCGGGGAAGCAGTTGCAGGTGCCGTAGCCGGCTCGAATGCCCCGGCGCTCCCCCGGCTCATGCCCCCCAACAATGCTTCCCCCTGAGGACAGACGCAGCCCACTCAGCCTCATGGGGCAGCCTGACAACCCAGCGTCCCAGGATTTCAAGGGCAGTGTCCCAGGGAGGCAGGAGGCCCCTCCCCACCTGATGTCAGAAAGCTCAGGCCTGGGAGGGCAGCAAACTCAGAAGCCCAGCTCACCCGGGCAGGGGTCTCAGTCACGATGCCCCTGGCCAGTTCCCTGGCCATGGGGGAAGGGAGAAGAGGGAGGAACCCACAGTCTGCCCAGGGCCCTTGCTGAGGTCCCAGAAAATGCCACACGGTTACTGTTACTTTTCAGAAGCAGAGAAGGAGCAGGGGGGTAACCAAAAGCAGAGGTTCAACCCTGAGTCAGCAGAGTGGGCGGCACTCCATTAGTCAGCCAGGGTGACGCTGGAGAGTGCGGGTCAGGCCCACAGTCCTGGGGGGCACAGCCCTTTGGTCAAGGGAAATGTGAAGGGAGGCCAGGCCCCATGTGTAACAGCACCCCATGCACTGTTCTGGCTGAGGCACTGGTGGGAGTCCAAGCCCCTGCAGCTAGCCGCCCCCACCTGTCCCTGTGCACTGACTAATACCACCACCAGAGGCCGAGCTGCTTACGGAGGCAGTCCTGGGGGCAGTCCACGCCCCTGCAGCTAGCCGCCCCCACCTGTCCCTGTGCACTGACTAGCACCACCACCACAGGCCGGGCTGCTTACGGAGGCAGTCCTGGGGGCAGATGTTGGGGTTTCTGCTCTCCACAGCGTCACAGTGGCTGTCGGGGCAGGTCTTGGTGCTGGGGGAGCAGGTGGAGAAGTTCCTGGTGATCCCTGCAACACGGCACACAGCAGGCATCACCCCACAGAGCGCCTGCTCCGTCACCCTGCCCCACGGCCTCCCAGGACAACCCTGTCCCCAGGGAGGGCAGACTGAGGCTTGGCACAAAGCCCAGCCAGCAGGAGCATCCCTGAGGAGTTCTAGGTGGGGTCCCGAGGCACAGGCAGCCTTACATCAAGCAGGCCAGACAAGGCTGGGACCCTCTCAAGGCCGCCCCAGGAATGGGACCCCCTGGCCTGGGACCTGTCAGGGAAGTGCTACTCATCCCCCACACATCCCAACTTTGGCCCAAATCTTTCCAAGCCCAGAGTGAGTCTGGACGGCACCTCTGGCCTCAGGCCCTCGGGCCCGCACGCTGCACTCGCGCCCGCGCTCTCGTGCTCTCCCCTTCACGAGCCACATGAGGGAGTGGACGTGGAGCAGGGAGGCCGTCGCAGGGCCTACCTTTGCTGTCTCCCTGACGCCACTCGCACCTGCCTGTCGGAGAGCCCAGGCCGCCACACTCCTCACACTCGGGCCGCCTCTTGCTGACCGCACAGGACAGGGGGCAGCCCACCTCCTCAGCCACGTCTGGAGGTGGCAGACAAGCAGGGTCACAGGGGCTGGCCCACAGACAGGGAGCAGCAGTGGCCCAGTGGCCCCTGCGCTCGAGGTGACTCAGCACAGGGTGCAGGGCAGTGGGATGGGTGAGCGGGACACAAGGTGGGGGCCACTCCCAGGCTGCGGTGAGCATGGGGGAAGGAGGTGAGGGTGGCCAGATTCAGCAAACGATACACAAGACGCCCAGGGAGACCAGGATTTCAGACAAATGACGAGTCCCTGTGTCACATATGGACGTCCCTAAGTCATGGAGATGCTTACACCAAGAAACGGCCTGTTGTTTACCCAAAAGTCAAACTTAGCCAGGGTCCTGTGTTTTACCTGGCAGCTCTAAAGCAAGTGCCACGTACAGGATCTGTGTTGACGGTGGTGACGGGTGGCAACTGTTTACTGCCGGTCGCTTGGGCTTAAGGGGTCCTCATTCTCCCCCTGCCACCCTCAGTGGGGCTGTGTGGCATGCTGTTGTTCTCATTCACAGGGAAGGAGGCTTAGGCTCAGGGAAGCCACCAGTCAGGTAGCAGAGCAGTGCCAGGCCCCACCCCATCTCCCCCGGGAGCCCAGCACTCACACGTCCCCTCCACGGTGACGAGCAGTGGTGCCTGCGCCTGTCTGTGGGTCTGCCGGTCAGTGGCCACCACCGTGTACTGCAGCTCAGCACACTCGGGCCGCTGCAGGGCCTCCGTGTCATTCACGAACAGGGTCCCCGAGGTGTCCTCAGCTGAGGTGGCCACCCCCAGGGCGCTGCAGTTGGCGCTGGAGGGCAGCAGCTTGTACTGGACGTGGATGCCGCTGAACTCCCGGCAGTTTTCCACACAGACTTTCCCAATCTAGGCGGGTGGCACAGGGAACACCTCAGCCGGGAGGCCAGAGAAGCTCCTGGGCTGCTCGAGTCCTGGGACGGTCCCTGACTCTCCTGGGGATGGCAGCCCCCTGAATGCTCGATCCTCCATCCACTGGAACCCGTACACCCAGCCTCTGCTGCAGCCCTGTCCTGCCCATGGGAGCTGGAGCTGCAGGCAATGGGCGGCTCTGAGGTTTGGTTTAGGAGAAGACCCAAGGCACGCCCTGGGGAGGTGCTGACACCTGTCACTCAACTGAATGCCTCCTATGCACCTCCTGGCCTCCCTGTGCACCCCCGCCCCTGGCCACCTACCAGAGCACTGTACCCCACCACATGGCTTGTGCAGCGTGGACATGTGGGACCAAGGGGACTCCCTGGGACTTTGGTTGGAACCCCTGAGAGAGAGGGACCTCTTCTCCCAGCTGTCGCCCTCACTGGGCCCTGGAGCCGGGCAGCAAACGGGCCTTTTTACCCATAATGTGAGTTAGAGCTGTAACTGCAGTGGTTTGAAGTAGTTTGAAACCAACAGCTCAAGCTAGTGGTGGGGGGAGGGGTGGGGGGAGGGCGGTCACTGCCTTCAGCTGTGTGGCTGGTCCTAACTCGGCCCGCTCAGGCCCAGAGCAGAGCCAGACTCCTCTGTCGTCCCACACCTGACGCCATACCCACGCCCACCTCCTCGCTTTCCCATATGTGGCGCACTCACTTCCACATGCTCATGTCACCAAAATTGCTCAGGGTCCCTGCCTTGATCTACAGCCATCAAAGCTGAGGGGGTGAGCAACCACAGTAGTCCAAGGCTGTCATCCCGAGTCTGACAGGGTGCAGTGACCCCCTCCAGCAATGCCTGCTCCCGCCCTTCCACCTTTGACACCCCCTCCGGCCCCTCTGCCCGGTCACTCCCCATGATTGACCCCTCCCCCGTAAAAGGCCTGGGGATGGGGAGGAGGTCAGGGAGCTCGGATGTGTCCAAATGTGGGGTCTCTTGTGTACTGGACCTGGGTAGCTGCCAGGAGCAGACAAGGGCACAGAACCAACCTCAGGAACTGGCAAAACCACCGTGACAATAGGAGACAACCCTAAGCACGGCCTTCTGAAGAGGACGTATCCACATGTCGCTCCAGTAGGGGAGGGCAGTGTGGTACATCCTGTCCATGCTAAAACCGCGAGTAAACATCACAAAGTTTAACAAAAACATTCAGGAAAGAACTGCACTAAAATACTAGCCACTGGTGGATATAAGGTCAAGGGATCACTCCTCCCTATTCCTCTTTTTTAATGAACACTTACCATTTTTACTTTTTTCCACTACGAGCATTATTTTCCTAAGACAAACACAACAGAAGCTCTCTCAAGCTAGCATCCTTACGGGAATTAAAAAGTGCAAGTGCTCCCCGCCATCCCCCCCAGAGGGCGCCACTGTCAACCGCCGTCTGCACATTTGCCAATTCCCATCAATGAAGACTTGATTCTGCACAAGTGGAGTCACATGAGACCAACATTTCTGCAAAACACTTTTTCACTCAACCCACCAGGAGCGTCTTTCCAAGCCAGCATGTGTAGGTTCACCCAGTGTTTCTCTTATACTAGTGTAAAAATTGTTTTACAGATACCAAGAAGGGAGAGAGCAAAAACAAAAGGGTCCAAGCAGCCCCTAGTGCTGTAAGCTGTCTCAGACCTCCCTGGTCACAGCCTCCCCTGGTCCCATGTCCCTGTCTCCACCGGGTAACCCTGCACTGGTGAGGCGAGGGAGGGGGGATCACTCACCCCCAGCCCTGCTTGCAATCCACTAAGCAGTGGTCCCCACACCCCTCCTCAGGCAGGCAGTAGACTGGGGCTCACCTGGGCAAAACGGCGGGCCCTCCTGCTCATGGAGAAGGAGTAGGCAGCAGGCAGGCGCAGGTGGACGGGCAGCACAGTCACATTGAAATGCAGCAGCAGGACACCTTCCCCTGGGCCCTGGAAGTCTGAGTCGTTGACCAGCACAGCCAGCTGCAGGGCACGGCTCTCTGAGATGGGCAGGCTCCGGTTGAGAACCAGCCCTGTGGGTGGGGACACAGCAGTGACCACCAAGCTGCTGTGGGCTGCTTGCCCATGCCACGGCATGACTTCCACACACACGTGTGCAAACACCTACTTTCACACACACGGTGTCCCGATAACAGCAAATGTTGCCGTCATACTGAAATGGAAGCCCAGGCACCCTTCTCAGCTGGGAAGCAGCCCCGTGTGCGTGGTGTGGGGGACGAATGTGGCAAATGTGTAATATGTTTACATTGCATGTGTATGCGGTGTGTATGTGGAATGCGTGTGTACAGTATAGTGTGTGTATGTATGTGGGGGGCGTAACGAGGAAGGTAAAGATCTACCACCACTGAGGCCCTGTGAAGAATGTGCTGGAGCCTCCAGACACTCCCAGAGAATGGCAGAACTCTGCACAGCGGCAGCCCCTGGGGACCCAAACACTCAAGGGCCCTGCCCCTGAAGCTCCCACGTCTGCACCCCCGCAGTGCACTGTGGCTGCGGGTCTAGTTTAGCCAAGGCAGACTGATGGGAGGGATGCACCTGCACACATGGCTTTCACAGTGCTGCACAACAAGGCCATCTCCCCTCGGGTGGGGGGCTGCAAAGGCATGGTGGGTGGGCCGAGGACTGAAGACTGAACAGGACCAGGCCAGGCAGGAAGAAGTGAAGGGCACCCCTGATCCTGGATCGCCCAGAAGGAGAGCCCAAGTACGAGTGGTTTATTTGGAAGGTGATGCTGAGAAACGCAGGCCAGGGTGGAAGCAAGGAGCCAGGCAGGACAGTGGTCTCAGAATCCCCCCAAACCAAGAGACTGGCTATTGTAAACCAACCCGTTAGTAGAGAGCTGCTAGGTGCAGAGCAACAGCCCCTGGGCACTGAGACCACCTCAGGGGCAGCACAGCAGGTGCCCAGGTGAGAGGAAGGCCTCAGGTGACAGCAAGTGTGTTCGCAATGGAGCCAGGTATGGTGAGGTCAGTGTGAGGTGTGCTGGGACCCTGCCAGGGACATCTGTGGGGCAGCTTGGGAGGAGGACAGACTCTGAAAACCCACCCGGTGGCTGACGGTGAGCCCAGGAGACCCAAGGGAAGGGTGGGAGGGAGTATGGAGGGGGTGGGGGCCTGGGGCTGAAGAGGGCCACTCCAGGCATGCATGCGTGTGGCTGCTGCCTGTCCAGGAGGAGCAAGTGCTGGGTTTCCTCTTACTGTAGTCATGCATGGTGGCCCGCACGAAGCTGCCATTGGCCTGGGCCAAGGTCTCATTGGGCGAATGCTCCACGCGGAAGGTCTGCAGGGCCCAGGCATCCCCAGGGAGCACCGTGCTTGTGTACCGCCTCGCAAGCTCCCCAGACGCTGGCACCACATCTGCATCGAAGACACGCAGTGTGGCCACCACAGTGCCCTGCAGGATGCAGAGGGCGCCAGTCAGAGTGGGTGAGAAGGGCCCTGGGAGCCCCAGAAGACCTGGGGAGGGTGCATGCCCTGGCTCAGTCCACAGGTGGGCCAAATGTGTGCTGTGAGAGCCGGCTCTGGGGACGGACTGACTTGGGTTCGAGTCACCATGGGGCCACTTGCCAGCCTAGCCCAGTCATCTTTCCTGAGCCACTGTGCCTCACCTATGCAACAGATATGACAGGCATCTACAGATCTCCTGTAAGGACTATTAAAGTGGATGCCCAGGCCCTATGCTGACAGCTCTTATCCAGGTCCTTGCAGAACAGAACTAGTTATCTCTGCTCTCCCCTGGGAAAGCTGGGCCCCACAGCATGAAGGTCGGCTTAAAGTCACACAGTGACAGATGGTAGGGCCAGGACCCCAGCCCGTGTGCACCAGGATGTCCTCCGAGCATGTTCTGTACACCAGGCTGCAGGGGGCTGTGAGCAAGACACAAGGCCCCGGGGATCGCTCTGCTCACCAGGCCCCCTGCTGTCACCCCAAGGCAGCCCGGCCAGGCTCAGAGGGCCTCTCCCCACAAGGTGTGATTTCCCCTTCCTCCCGCCCCCTACCATACCTGCACTTGGGGTGCCCAGGGAAGCAGGGAAAAGCAACACCACCACTCCCACCCTCTCACTGCGCCCAGGGGCGGGCCGGGCCGGCTGCAGGACCTTCCGCGGCCAGCAGATGTCAGTGTCGCTCCACCTTCGTGGGCTGGAGAGAGGCAGGGCCGGGCCGCGAGCAGGGAGATGCCTGCCGGACCCTCCTCCCTGTCTGTCCCCAGTCCCCGCTCTTCTCAATGACCCTCGTGAAGGGCAGGCGGTGGAGGGAGTGCTCTCCTGGCAGATGTCTCCTGGGCAGCGCCCCAGACACCCCCCCGGGTCTCGTCCGCCAGGTCAGACACAGGCTGGGCACCCAAGGCTCCGGCCTCCGGGCCCGGGGCGCACTGGCGGGACCGGCCTCCCCTCGGCCGCCGCCCTGGTGCAGGCAAAGAACCCCGGCCAAGGGCCGGATGTGTGCGGACGACACCCAGGGATAAACGGCAGACGGAGACAGACACCAAACGGACGGCAGACAGACAAGCACCTCCTTCCGCTTGAACTCCACCTCGGCGTTGGCGGTGTCCACGCCCCCGGGGAAGGTGGGCGCCGAGTCGTCCTCGTCGTACACGGTCACCGGGAAGGACAGCACCACGTCCTCCTCGCGCGCGCCGCTGCGCACCGTGCACACGGCCACCAGCTCGTACTTCTCCCGCTGCTCACGGTCCAGGGCCCGGCGCGTGCTCACCTCCAGGCTGTCGGCGGCGCAGCGGAAGGGCAGACTCTCACCTGCCCACCAAGCAGACCGGGGACGCCGCGTGACCGCCGGGCAGGGGCAGGGCGAACCGCCTTCCTCAGGGACCCAGCGGGAGTGCACGGGAGGGGGCTCTGTGGTCACACGGCGTGCCGGCCACGGGCCCTGTACGTCCCCCTCCTTGGGTCCACAGGGGGGCACAGTGCTCCAAGCACGGGTGGGCAGTGACGTGCGCTCATGCGCTTTGCTGAGACGCTCACTCCCGATGATGGGGAAGTGGGGACCAGGTGCCCTCATCACCCAGGAGGGCCTGGGGCACCCCTTGCCCACCTAGCCTCCATCTGCAGTGGCTTGTGTGGGCAGGGGTGGCTGCAGGTCCCCTGAGACTGTAGGCCCAGAGAACCAGCTCTGGGCACTGGCTGGCTTTTAAAAAATGTTAGGACTTTTTTTTCTTTTAAATTATGGAAGCAGTATGTGCTCATTTTAGAGAACGTGAGAAATAAATCCACAATTTTACCACTTGAAAACAAGCTTGGTGGACATTTGGTGTGTAATTTTACATTAAAACCCAAATATTTCCAACTGCCTGTGTGCATCCCTGCTCCATGCCTCCTGGCTGTGTGGCCGGAAGCTGGTCATTCCACCTCTCGGTGCCTCAGTTTCCTCCCCAGAAGATGGGATGGTGAGGACGGAAGTGCCTGCTCCGCTCCTGGCACTGCTGCATGTGCTCTGCAGACAATGACCCCCAGCGCCCCATGAGGGCAGGGCCAGGCACCACAACACACTCTTCAACTCCAGAAATCACCCAGGAAGGGAGAAATGCTGACGGCTGGAGCGTCAACACTGAAGACCCCCACAGCCATCCACAAGGAGGGGAAGGCAACCGCACATGCCGCCTGTCAGAACCACGTTACACATGAATTACACATGTGGGAAATGCTTATCACATAATCTTTTCCTCTATCATTTATGATTACAAAAAGCTCGCTAGACAGAATTAACTATGTAATTTTTATCAAAAAAGGGCAGCATGCAAAACGATGTGCTTTGCCAATCACCAGCTTCAAGGACATCTACTCTCCCTAGGGAGAATGAGGATGTTGCGGGAACATGAGAGACGGCTTCTTCTCCTTTGTTTAGCCTTTGACATTGTTTCCATGTCTGTGTGGTGGACCTGGTTGGAATGGCACAGCTCTGTGCCCTGGCAGAGCCCTAGCTCCTTGGCCTTGAAATGGCTGAATGGCACCTCCAGGTGGCCACCCAGCTGCCTTCTCTACCTCCACTGGGATGCACCTCTCCCTCGGCCTCCCCAGGGTCACCTCCAGGCAAAGCCTGCTGTCCTTGCTGTGTGGCTCAGGCAGAGTCCCGTTCAACCATGCTTGATCCCTTCCTTCCCACAACACCCCCATCCAGCCCAGAAGGAAATCCTGTGAGACCTTCCATTGAGGCATGGCAGGCAGCTGCCTGCTTTTTGTGCCCCTTTGCTGCCACCCTCATCCCAGCCCCATCTTCTTGCCCAGGGGTTCCTCCTGTAGCTCTGATCGTCTCTCTGCTGCCACCCTAAACCTCTGCCCCACAATTACGCCTAACACAATAGTCTCACTAATCCTCTGCTATGCCTCCCATGGCTCCCAGTGTCCCTCAAGGTGAAGCCCTGAACATCACTCCTAGACTTGTCCCCTTCCCAGGGACTCCTCGGCCCCCAGGGGCCTTGACTCTCCTAAGCTGCTCACTGCACTCCAACCACATGGAGGTCCCACCTTGACACCCTCCAGGGGGCTACATCTGCATGCCTGGTGTCCTCCCACCTTTGCTCTGGTGTCCCCGCCCCAACCACTCAATTTAAGACATCGTTTGCACCACTGCACGTCCTCCTGGTTTCCCTTCCCTCCTAGCTCCTTCCAGAAACCACACGATTTCCTCAGCACATGCACAGTCGCATCTCCCATGGGAACGGACGCTCCAGGCAGTCAGGACTCCAGCCTATTTTGCTCACTGTTGCACCCTTAGCTCCTAGAATAGTAGCTGGCCACTGGCAGGCACACAAGAGTATTTCTGGAGCGCTAAGTGAAAGGAGTAAACCAGGCAGCTCATGCCACGGGCTTGCAGCACCATGCCTGGTGGCCCACGAGGTCGGCACTCACCTCCCAGGAGCCTGTAGGCCACGCTGACGTTGGGGCAGAGGAACTGCACAGGGAGCAGGCGGAACTGGTGGAAGGTGCCCGGGGGCCTGTTCTCCCGAATGCGGAAGGAGAGGCCTGTCTCCGGGAAGCAAAGCTCCTGGGGCTTGAGTGAGCTGCAAGCTGGGAAGGAGGTGTTGATGAAGGAGAAGTACACGCGGGCACAGCCCGGCCATTGGCACTCGCCCTCGCGCAGGGATGCGGGAGACAGGAAGACCTGGAGGTAGACGGTGAGCAGGGGCGAGCCACCTTCTGCAGAGAGAGGAGAAGTCGGGCCCTGTGGGGATGTCAGCCACACCTGCCATGTAGTGGGGAGTGGGGACAGGCAGGAGTTCCAGGGTTCATCGTGGTCCACAGGGCACCACTAGGCTCTCCAGCTCCTACCTACCACCTCCCCATCCCTGCCACAGGGTCTCAGCTCCAATGTCCCCTTCCTCAGGGAGGTGCCCTGGGCACAGGCCTGAGGCTCCCAGCCCTGCTAGTGGACAGCTCCTCCAGGATGGCTCCTGCAGCATGTGGTGCACAGAAACACGCCCTGCCCACCACGCCCGTCCCAGGCAGTTCTGTCATGCTAGAGACAGACCTCCTTAGAGACAGACCTCCCCAGCACCGAGGGGGCCTTCCCAGCAAGTCCCATCCTCGAGGCACCGCCACGACTTTGTCGGGGTCTGGGGCTCTTCCTGGTCCCTCTAGCTCGGCCCCAGGCTGGCGCTGCTCCTCACACCCGCTCTTCCTACATCCATCCTGCATGTCTCTGCTTCTCACGAGCCTGTCCTTTGTCTCTCCCATCCCGGGCCGTAGTTACTAATTCTTTATGCAAACTTTCCCTGCTCAGACGACGGCGGTGCATGAGGTCTCTCTCAAGTCGAGGAAGGCTCAAGCTCCGGGGAAGGCTCAAGCTCCAGGGAAGACAGGCCTGCAGCAAATCCCACCCAGCCCCCCAGGCACTCTAGTTCCCCAGCCCCCACTGGGGGCTTGGGATGGAAACAGTGGAACTGCATGTGTGAAGCCAAGGCCATCTCAGATGCCACCTCCTCCAGGAACTGTCTGGGCTGCCCTGACTTTATTGGCAGACAGTTGGTAGGTCTGCCCTGGCTGGATAGTGCCATTTGTGCTGCATCCACGGCACATGGCCTGCCTGTCACTGCCAGATGGGGACTCAGGGATGTGGTGTGGGCCAGGTAGAACTACTGGATGTCCCATCACCATTTCATGCCACTAGGTGCCCCATTCCACCCCCACCCCATGTGGTACCAGGGTCATGTGTGGCTTCGACCTAGGCTCTGATCCCTGCTCCATGCAGCTGGCCAATCCTTCCTTCTGCTCCACTCCCCCCTGGACACCCCGGACTATCCCAAGCCCCCGCAGGCACTGGGTGGCTATGGCTGATGGGGAGACAGGCTACCCCTGGGAACTGCTGCCACTCCAGCTAGTTCAAGGTCATTTGCTGAATCAGAACCTTGGGGCTGATTCCTGGTTAGACCCACTGGAAAAGACGCCTGGGTGCGGCATGGAGATCACCAAAACTCTCCGAAGTCCCCACAGCCTCAGGAAGCTCAGGGGCCACCAGCAACCCCCATACTTGTCCTGGCTCCCTCGGCAGGCTGGACCCAGAGGCAGGCCGGCCTCCCCTCGCTCCTTATGCCCCCACACTCCAGCAGTTATGGGGACGCACCCCCGAGCCTCGGTGGCAGTGGCTGTGATAAGGGCGGCTGAGGACTGGGGATGGGGTGCGGGTGGGGATCAGCGCTGCTTCCTTACTGCGGATGCTGAGCTTCTCCCAGGAGCTGTGGTCCAAGCTTCGGTTAAGGTACAGAAGGCCAGTGTCCTCCTGGATGCAGATCCAGTCATTCTCATGCAGCCGCGTGCGGTAGGTGACATAGAGGTGCTGGCCCAGGCGGAAGCTGGGTACCTCCCCAGGGGCGTCCCGCAGGGCATGGACATAGAGCAGGGGCGTGCCAGCCGGCTGGTCCAAGTACAGCTTCTCCCAGTAAGCATCCCTCGAGAAGTAGAGGCCCAGCGGAGCTGCAGAGGCAGAGGAGTGTGTGAGGCAGGGCTGGGGATGGAGGCTTCTTTGTGGACCAAAAAAAAAAAAATCATTAATTTGAAATTCTGATCTTAGTAGGAATTTCTTATCTCTAGTGCTAAGAACACGAACACACAATTATTTGCATAATAATTATTTGCATAGCTAAACACATAATTATTTGCATAGCTAAACACTGGCTGAAAACAAACTGCCATAAAATAGAAAAAGAAAAAAGAGGAACGAAGCAGGTGGCAGTCTAAAACAGTTGCAAAATCATTCTCAGTCACCCAGGTTTGATAAGCACCTCAAGCACACAGCAGGGGCCTCACACGGGCTTCTGAACAAATCGCCTGGAGCCCACGTTTTCAAGGGTACAAGATGCAGCCAGAGAAGCAGGGCAGGCAACAGTTGCCAAAAACAAAGAAAGCACTTTATAAGATAGTGATAATAAACCTTCATCTAAACATACTCCTACCATGCGACCCAGCAATTCCACTCCACTTATCTAAGAGAAATGAAAACATATGTCCATCAAATGACTCAATTGCAAATGGCAGGATTATTCACCACAGCCAAGAGCAGAATAGCCTAGCAGCCCTTCAACGGGTGGATGGATAAGCGATCGGGGACACGTCCACACCACGGACTCCCACCCAGCAACGAAGAGGGACAAGCGACTGACACACACCACAGCCTGGACGACTGCCAGACACCACGCCACGTGGAAGCAGCGTGCAGGAACTGTGCACCCATGGCACGATGCTAGACTAACCTCAGGTGATGAGGCACACTGGTTGCTTGCTGGGTGGGGCTGGGCCAACAGACTGGAGAGGGCAGGAAGGAACTTTCTGGGAATACAGAGGGCCCATATGCAATATGGGTGCAGGTCACTTGGGGTTACCCATTTGTCAACACTGTACAGCTGAGATTCATGCATTCCAACCTACTTAGGAATTTACTTAAATTTTACCTAAAAACTGAAAAACTAATCATCAAGGGGGCTGTGTCACTTCCACGAGGAGAGGTGGATGTTGGCCTTGGCTGTGGCTGGCTGAGTCACGCAGGAGCTCACGGCACTATTCTGCTGACTCTGTGTATGTCCAATGTTTTTCACAATAAAAAGTTTTTTAAATAATAAGAATTTTTGGAACTCATGTGCACTGTTGGTGGGAATGCAAAGTGATCTACTTGCTGTGGAAAGTAGTATGGCAGGTCCTCAAAGAGCTGAACACAGAATTACCATATGATCTAGCAATCCTACCTCTGGGTATAGATCCAAAAGAATTAAAAGCAGGCACTCAAAGAAATATCTGCACACCATGTTCATAGCAGCATTATTTGCAAGAGCCAAAAGGTGGGAGCAGTCCCTGGTGTCCATCAACGATGACTGGATCAGCAAAATGTGGTCTCTCCATACCATGGGACATTATTCAGCCTCAAGAAGGAAGGAAATTCTAACACATGCTACAGCATAGATGAACCCTGAGGACCCTAAGAGAAATAAGCTAGCCACAAAAGGACAGATACTGCATGATGCCACTTACGTGATGCTCCTAGAGTAGTCAAATTCATAGAAAGTAGAAGGGGGGTGCCAGGGGCTGGGGGAGTGGGGAATGGGGTGTTAGTGGGGACAGAGTTTCAGTGTTACAAGATGAAAAAGTTCTGAAGATGGGTAGTGGTGATGGTTGCACAATAATGTGAATGAATTTAATACCACTGAACTGTACACTTAGAAATGGTTAAGATGGAAAGTTTCACATTACATGTATTTTCCCATAATAAAAAAGTAAAATTTTTTTAAAAAGATGGATAAATAGGCAAAAAATGCTTAAAACCCACTAAAAACCTGTAAATATACTCTATACTGCACAAAAAATGCCCCCACACAAAGCACACATTAGGAATACTGTGCTGGTATGTGACCAGTTTCTCTTTTCCATCAGTTTGTCCCCAGATCCTGCTTCCCTGGCAGCTGAGTCTTGCTCCCCCCAGGCACCTGGTCCTCCAGGGAAACAATCAAGGGCAGATTGGAGTCAGGTGACGAGAACCTGCAAGACTGTGTGGGGTTTCAGAGTAGTAAAACAGGAAACTAGAAGGTTTCCTGCACTGTGCAATGTTTCTGAAGGATGACTTGGAAAGGCAGCCGGTTGGGAAGGCCACCTGGAGGGAAGCGAGCATCTGGTCCTTCGGCACCCAGGGTGGGTGCTTCCCTACCTAGCAGAGAGGGACAGAGACAGAGACAGAGACTCTGGCCAGAGCCAAAGGATGGAGGACAATCTCTGGAGAGGGACCCAGAAGTGCTCCAGTGCAGGGGAGGGGCAGGCTAGGACCTCCTCCGGGAGCAGGCCTGTACCTGAGCCCTGGCCTGCAGCCTCTGCAGGTGGGACCACCCAGAGTGCCACACTGCAGTGGAGGGGCAGCTAAGAAGCCCCGTGAATAAGTCACACTGGGGAATTCTGGGGAGGGAGTCCAAAGAGCAGGCCAACCACTCTGCCCCTTCCAGGGAGCACGTGCCACGCATGGCGGAATGCCGCCTTCCTCTCTCCACTGGCCCAGGAGGACGAAGGCTGCCCTGCAGAGGCACTCAGGGCTGATCTCTTTGGATTCAGTAACTGAACCTGGAAGGGACAGGTGGGCAGCTCAGAGGGCTGTGGCAGCCCCAAGTCCCCAAGGCCAGCTTCCCCAGGCCCCTGGCACAAGGCTCATGACCCTCAGCCCCAGGGCAGTCTCCATCAAAGAGCAGCCAGTGGCACCCAGCTCCTTGATGTGTCACGGCTGACAGGTCCCCCACGGGTCTGTCCCTGCAGTCAGGGTCTTCTCCAGAGACTGCCAAGAGAAGTCCCCCTACCCCCGACCCCAGTCCAGGGGTGCCCAGAGACAGTCCCTAGAGAGGGCGCTCCTTACCACTTTTGAGACAGAGACAGGAGCACTCCCCATGGGTGTCTCCCGCCTCCCTGCTGCTGCACACCGGGATGCTCACCACTGCCAAGGGGTCCCTGATGGGGCTGTGTGGCCACCTCCCATGAAGCGCCGCCTGGCAGAGTAATCTCAGGCCTGCCTCAGTCAGTGGGACCTGCCCTGGTCAATGGGGTCACCCAGCCCTGCTTGGCCCTCACCAAGTGCTACTGGCAAGTAATGAATACCAGCTCCTGTGGACCTTTGCAGCATAAGGCAGCACCCGTCTGTTGAGAACTTGCATTTCTGGACACAAAGAGGACAAGAGACTAACTCACAGTGGCCTTGCAGGGCATGGCTCTGGGGCAGCCCAGACATGGGAGCTCGGAGCCCCCTCCCGACCCAGCATGGCATCCAGCGCCGGGTCTGCCCCAGGACCACAAACTCTCGTACACAGAGGGGTGGGGTCCACGTTCTCAACCCCGAGTACAGGCGAGGGAACGCTAGGGGACGAGTGAGCTCCCACATGCTGTGGGAGCACACCAGTCTGGGAATCCTGCAAGGCATCTCCTCTCATGCTGTGGGAGCACACCAGTCTGGGAATCCTGCAAGGCCTCCGGGGTGAGGGGCTTCGTGATGCACACGTGTCTTCAGTGGTCCAGGGGCTAGGAGGTGGCACAGGCCCGAGCTCCCCAAAGCCCCCACCACAGAGACCACATGTGCAGGGGAGCAGGGCCCTACGAGATCGCTGCTGCCAAAAGGGATTTGTGGGTCAGGCAGTGATTGTGAACAGAAAGGCTTAAATGCACTTAAAATACGTCCCAGGTGGTCGCTGCAGTAGGGAACAGCTGTCTTAATGCTCCTCCTTGTCACAGACACTTCTAGATGGAAAAACACATGGTCCAAGGCGGGGACTGAGAAGGAGGGTGTGCGTCTGGCCTCGGGGGGTGCAGCCTGGGCAATACCCCCAGACCCCACACTCAGAGGGCTCACACTTGGTTTAATGCTGTGCTACCACCGTCTTTGACGTTCTTCATCTTTCCAGAACAAGGGGCCCCACAAATGATGTGGACAATGGCAGTGGGTGAATGAGGGTCAGGAAAGAGCTGTTGGTGTCTGGCACCATGGGCTGCGTGGCCTCTGCAGGGCAATGGCCTCAGTTTCTCCATCTGTGAGCCAGGGAGAGCATCTGTGAGCATGCGGAGAGGAGCAGCCAGTACAGGTGCAGACAGGGCCTCACTTCTGCACAGGTGTGTATTGTTCCGAGCCTCTCACTGCAGACTCACAACCACCACATGCAGATCTTTTCACAGTTCCATTTCATGGGGAGGAACACTGAGGCCGGGAGGTCAAACAGCTGAGCTCTTCCTGGCATTTGGTACAATGGCCAAGAATGCAACAGTGGAAGGCAGGAAAGGGTAGGCGCCAAGCCCCAGCTCTGGCTCCTCAGGTCAGCCCATGCCCTGGCACCATGCAGGACAGGTGAGGCCACCTGCTCACAGAACAGCTGCCGAAGGCCCGAGTCTCTGCTCACATTCGGAGAGAATGCAGGAGGCTTCATGGCCTGTGTAGTGTGTGCGCACTTGTGTGTGTGACGCATGAGTGCATATCTGTGCATGCACTCTTGCCCACTGGCATGCAGGAGACACACGCAGACGGAGACGGAGACACACCCACCCAAGAGCCATCTGCTCCCACCCTGCTCCATGCAGTGGGGTGAAGTGCTGTCCCTCTGGGGCAGGGCCTCCTCCAAAATCACCTGTTAGCAGGCACTGATGATGCCATTCAGGGCATGCAGTCACCCAGTTGTGGTTTTGCTTCTAACTTGTGCCTGTTTTTCAGCCTGCCAAGACTGTTTCCAATGCTCCACACTTGGCTGGAATGTTCAACTTATTTGTATTTAATTGGTTAAAATTTATAAATTTATACAATTTATAATTTATTTAGTTTATTCGTATTTGGATGCAGATGGAACCAGTCCTGAGCCCCCTCCTCCCACAGGTGTGCTCACGCACTCTTACACTCCTTGTCACACGCTCTGAACATGTGTGCACGCTCTCGGGTCCACACTGGACCCTGAGCATCCTCCTCTGCAGGCAGC